ACAAACCATGGCATACATCAGACTTCCAATTGATGAGGCATACGACACCTTCACCATGTGTGCACGTTCTTCCTCCGTCTTTGGTGACTGTTTTTTGGAGAGTATGAAATGAACACCTAAAGGTGTACTTACTGGTTTAGAATCTTGCATGTTGAACCTGAAGAGTACATTGTTGATGTACTCAGCCTGTGATAACATCAAAGTCCCCGACTTTGTGTCTCTCTTAATCCTCATCCCAAGAATCTGCTTTGCAGCGCCCAGATCTTTAATAGCAAACTGCTTCGATAATTTTTGCTTCAAGTGTATAATCTCTTACATGTCTGAGCCTGCAACGAGCATGTCATTAACATACAATAATAAAATAATGAAGCTGTTTTCGAACCTCTTGATGTAGCAACAATGATCTGCTTGGCATCTGGTAAAACCATTGCTACTCATGAAACTATCGAACTTCTTGTACCACTATCTAGGAGCTTGTTTTAAACCATACAAGCTCTTCTTCAACCTGCATACCAGGTTTTTTTTGTCTGCCTTTATGAAGCCTTCTGGCTGCCTTATATAGATTTCTTCCTCCAAATCACCATGAGAAAGTTGTCTTCACATCTAACTGCTCAAGATGTAGATTTTCTGCAGCTACAATTTTCAACACCAGTCTGATTGTAGACACTTTCACGACTGGAGAGAAAATTTCATTGTAGTCAATACCTTCTTTTTGTTGAAAACCTTTGACAACCAATCTTGCTTTGTAGCGTTTGTTCCCATCGTGCTCTTCTTTGTTCCTGTAAATCCACTTGTTATGGAGCGCTTTCTTGCCTGGTGGTAATTCAGCTAATTCCCACGTCTGATTTGACATAAGTGAGTCCATCTCATCTTTCATGGAAGACTCCCACTTGACTGAATCCTCCACCTGCATTGCTTCATCATAGCACTCTGGTTTACCATTGTCAGTCATCAACAAATAGTGCAAAGCAGGCGAATGACGCTAGGTTGGTTTAGGAATTCTGGATGAGCGTCTCAGTTCTGGTGTGCCTGGTTCTTCTTGAACTTCTTTAAGACTGATATGAACATCATTTCCAGAAATCTCTTCGAACTCAGCAAATTCCTTTGTTTCAGCTTCGGAATTGGAGCTACTTAATTCTATGGCTGACCTGTCTTTATACATCACATTCTCATTGAAAATGACGTCTATGCTTTTGATGATCTTTTGATTTTCGTAGTCCCAAAACCGGTAACCGAACTCATCAACACCATAACCAACAAAGACACATTTGTTGGACTTGGCGTCAAGTTTACTTCTTTAAGTGTGAAAGGTTTATTTTTTTCTTGCTCCAAAATTCCTTTGGTATTCCATCATCCAAGAGAACTGAGGGCCCACGGTTGATCAGGTAAGCTGCAGTGTTGATAGCTTCAGCCCATAACATTTTGGGCAATACGACATGTATCCTCATGCTTCTGGCACGTTCATTCAGGGTTCTGTTCATACGCTCTGCTGCGGTGTCATGGGAACTGTTGTCTCCATCTTGATCCCATTGTTTGCACAGAAATCTCTGAATGTACTATTTCTGTACTCTCCTCCATTATCAAACCTCAACCGCTTGACTTTCAGACCAGTCTCATTTTCCACCATGACCTTCCATTTTCTGAAGGTATCAAAGACTTCTGATTTTTTCTTCAGAAAATAAACCCACACCTTCCTTGTAGAATCATCGATGAAGGTGGCATAATATAGTGAGCCTGCAAGGGATGGAACTGGAGATGGTCCCCATACATCAGTATGAACCAACTCTAACTTTTCTACCTTGGGTGTCTTGCCAATCTTTGCAAAACTAACTTTCTTTTGTTTGCCAAAGATGCAATCCTCGCATAGTCCGACATCTACATTCTTTAGATCCGGCAGCTTCCCTTTTGACAAAAGTGTCTTCATCCCTTTCTCGCTCATATGGCCAAGCCTTTGGTGTCATATGTTTGATTTTCTATCAGCATATGCTACTGCAATGATATTCTCTAAATTTGAGGTTACATAGAGAGTATCAGTCTTCTTACCACGAGCAATGACGAGTGCTCCTTTGGTAATCTTCCATTCACAGCCTGAAAAGGTTGTGCTATATCCTTCCCCCATCAAGTCGTCCTACAGAAATCAAATTTCTTTTGAGGCCAGGAATATGTCTCACTCCTTTCAGCGTCCAGGTGGTCTGGTTTGACAACTTTAATCGGATGTCTTATTTTTCGACGATCTTCAAGGTTTCATCATCAGCTAGATGAACCTTCCAAAAATCACCACTGACATAGTTCTCCATGATTTCTCGGCATGGGGTGGAGTGGAAAGATGCCTCTGAATCCAAGATCACTGATTCAATTGGATTGTTGACGCTTAGAATCATGACATCACCTGTCTCCTATGTCATATTGGCAGATTTCTGTGCGCCAATATCTTTCTTCAGTGCTCGGCAATCTCTTTTAAAGTGACCCTTCTTGCCAAAATTATAACAGGTAAAAATTTTCTTTCCCGTTCTAGATTTCGATCTGCCACGATTTGAATTTCTTTATGAAGTTCTCCCTCTAGACTCCGTGTGCAAGGCTGAGGAGCTTGATGCTTTCGTCGAATTTTAATTTGTTGTTTCCCGACGAGCTACTGACTGTTGTAACAGTAGCATTCCAACTGTCTGGTAGAGATGATAAGAGAATTAAAGCTCAAACTTCATCATCGAATTCAATTTCCACGGAACTTAACTGGGTTTTGATTGTGTTGAGTTCATTTAGGTGTTGAGCCACTGATGCCCCTTCCGTCATCTGCAAATTGAATAATCGCCTCATCAAATGAACTTTTTTTTTAGGCCGATGGCTTCTAATACATACTGGAGAGAGCCGCCATAAGACCCGCCGTTGTCTTTTCCTTTGCTATGTTGAAAGCAACATTGCGGGATAACGTCAGTCGGATAACTCCGAGGGCTTGTCTGTCGAGAAGAGCCCAGCCTTCATTCTTCATGCCCTCTGGTTGCTTTCCTGAGAGAGGTTGATATAGATTTTTCTGATACAGAAAATCTTCAATCTGCATCTTCCAAAAGCCAAATTCCGCACCATCGAACTTCTCAATTTTCACATTCTTTTCGTCTGCAGCCATCGCTCCCACTCGAATCTGGCTTCGTTTGGATCGTTTTTGACAATTCTTGCAAACCACCGTGTATTAGAACACCTCCGTCTACAAATTCGTATCGCCGACAAAATTTCACTATTCATGAAATTCACTATTCACATGAATAGTAATAAATAGTAACCTCACAAAAAATTGACAAAATTTACAACCAAAAGTTCTGATACCAGTTGTTGGGAAATAATCGAGTACGAGTAATTTCTCTATAACCAGATTAGTGAGAATGCGAAATAAAAGCGGAAAAATAATATCCGAAATTGATAACGGAGTTCAACCAATTTTGCCTACGTCTTCGGACTGCTGCAGATCTTTTACTAAAAGAAAAAAATTACAGGTGTTTACAAAACACTCACTACTTACAAGAAAACTCTCTAGTATTGAGAGAAATAAATGATTTGGGATGATTTTGAAGCTAAATGGACTAGAATATTTATAGCTGAAGCTTAATGACTAATCTTGTAAATACACTAAAGTATACAGTGACTAAAATGTAAGTAACCCTATTATAAAATAAATAAAAAATTGGGGCACCCCCTTTGTTGAAAATCACTCTCCCCTTATGCGACTTTCACGTTCAACACCCTTGGTAATGTAACTGTGTAGAATACAAATGAATTCAGAATTGCAATTTTCGGAAACAATTTGTAAAGCAGCTGCGAGCGTGAATTCATTGCGGCGCTCATTCTCCAGTATCTGAATAAAAGTGGTTATCCCTTCGTCAGCTAACCCATTGTGGCAGTAACATGATATCATTGATGTCCATGATGCCACGGTTTTCACAGGCATATGATCGAACAGCTTTCCGACGAATTCTATACACCCACATTTCACGTACATGTCAAGAAGACAGTTATTAACAAAGACATCCGCTTGTGAGATCATCGGCGCAACAACGAAAGAGTAAACGACGTCAGGATCTGTTAGCGAATGATACCATGTGAGAAAAGGGCCATCAATGGCAAGGTGAGTATGAAGAAGAGATGAGCAGCAAGTATCCAGTAAAGAAAGTATCACACTTGTATATTGACTGTGTAAAAGCTATGTATGGAATACAAAACTTCTGCTTTTATATACAACTTATAATGTCTAATACAAGCGTAACAGACTTCACAACTGATACTAACAACCCTAACTGCCACTAGCAGCTTCAAGAAGCTCCTAACTACTTTACTAACACCACCATGCAGGTTTTCAAAAAAAAAACACCATGCAAGCTAAGCATGCATACGCAGTAGCACGAGCAGCATGGGCACCATTGTTGCTGACTCATCATGCAAACAATGCTCGACCCTCGGAATCAAATTTAAAAACTCTGTTGGCATTTTAATGAGGTCTTAAATGAAAAATAAATATATGAAATGCAGAACCATGCCCTGATAAGATACAAAAGTGGAAAAACAGTCCTGCAAATATCACAGATAGAGAGAGCTGCTCGATAGACCTAAACGATAAAAGCTAGAACATTAATTATTCCATATGTCTTATAAGGAATGAAGTTGTGCAAGAAGCAGCATCAGTCACTGAGGAACAAACAGAATTATAAACAAAAACTTCAAAAACAGTATTTTAACTCACTTGTCCACAATTACTAAATAAGCCAGCAAGTTGCTCTTCAGTGACCTGAAAGAGGCGATTTTCGAAAGTGACTTCACCGAATCAGAATGAAACCGAAAAAAGGAAATCACTAAATGGTGCCACCGGTTAAACTTACATTATGATCAATATCAGAAACATATACTGTTTACCTAATACTATCATCTCGCTGAGCTCGAAAAGCTTTACCAACCAAATAGTACACAACAGCATATCAGAAAACCCAGTTACCATTGTTCTGCAACTAGTTGCTTCTTCAACCGCGTCTACCACCGAGTTTCGACCGTTTCAGCTTTCGGGGTTGAAGTCTTTTGACCATCGTCACCAGCCATTGGGGTTTCCCAGTTGAAAACACCACATACCCCATAATCAGTCCAAAAATAACTCCACATCCATATCCTAACACTACAACTTTCCATCCGAATTCAAACATTGAACCTGATGAAACATTTTGTTGTCTTGCTGGACGATGCTGTGTTTCACTTGGGTTGCACACTTTGGACAATGGAAATCCGCATAATCCCGAGTTTCCTAGATAGGACTCGTTTGAGAATGTATTGAATTGCTTCCCCTGTGGGATTAGTCCCTCAAGCTTATTGTATGAAAAGTTCAGGACTTCAAGGAATGTCAGATCCAACAATTTCTGCGAAATTCTGCAAGAAAGTTGATTTGAAGAGAGGTCTAACCATTCCAAGTTTGTCAAGGAACCGATCGATGATGGAATACATCCCATGAGATTGTTATGGGAGAAGTTGAGGCCTTCAAGCGACTTAAGCTTTCCAATGTTGCTTGGAATTTCCCCACTGAAATTGTTGTTGGACAGATCAATGGTGGTGAAGATGGTAAGAATTTTCTCCATCTTAATATAAATTCCTTTAATGGTAACCTTCACATCATTCTGATAGTAGTCGTGTTCAGGTCCCACATATTGCAGTTTCCGTAGTTCATCGCTGCCCACGCTCAACATAGCTTTTAAATTGTTGAAGAACCTCGTGGGCAATGAGCCTGTAAATTCATTGTGAGAGATGTCCATGATTCGCAACATAGGAAAGAAATGTTTGGCTTTAGAGCTGACTATGGCACCATGGAACTTGTTGGATCTTAAGATGAGAACCCGAAGCTTTGGAAGAGCTCCCAACCAGTGGGGAAACTGACCACCAATTTTGTTGTTACCAACATCAATAACTTCCAATTTTCTACAATTATGAAGAGAATGCGGCAACGATCCCTCCAATTGGTTCCCGTTCAGGGCAAGAGTCGTTAAGCTTCTACATTCGACAAATTTGATAGGGATTACCCCATGAAAGTTGTTCATCCGCAGATCTAACACCATCAACGAATCGCTGAAATTTCCCAAACATTGTGGAATTTTGCCATTCAAGTAGTTATTGGACAAGTCGATAACTGAAGTAAAGCTGTTGTTGCAGATTGAAGGAGGAATCTCTCCTGTGAACTTATTGTTCGAAATCAAAACAAAATCTGCCGAGTGCACTGCATCTGGAAGTGATCCTTGAAGTAAATTCGAGTGGAGATCAAGCACGGATAAGCTATTCCATGGATGAAATCCTTGGAAACTTGTGAGAAGGTTGTGTGAAAGATTCAGATATGACAACGTATCCTCTCCAAGTCCCCAAAACCACTTTGGAAGAGGTCCCTGAATTTTGTTGCTCGAAAGATCTAATCTTTCCACATACTTTGAATCTCTCAAGAATGCGGGGATTTCTCTTAGGTTGCATGAGGACAAAAATATGTGAGTAATCAAGGGGAAGGATAGATTCTGGTGTCTCTTAGGAAGGCTCAAGGAAAAGGTGTTGTATGAGAGATCAAGATAGGTAAGATTCTTGAGTTTTGAAATCACCTCTAGATCAAGAAAGCCACTCATGTTATTTGACGAAAGTAAGAGATTCTCCATGTGCAGAAGCCCAGAGAATGACCTTGGAATTGGGCCATGGAGCTTGTTGTTGCTCAGAACAACGTGAGATAGCTCTGATTTATTCACTTGGAAGTCATCAAGATGGCCGTCAAGTTGATTATAACTAAGATCCAGCACTCTTAATGATGGGATAGTAAACAAGGAAGAGGGTACTGTTCCAGTGAGTAAGTTATGAGATATGTCGAGAAAATCCAAGCCTGAATGACTACTTATGCTAGTTGGAATAGGACCCGTCAGTTGATTATTTGAAAACGAAACTGAAATAGGCTGTGTCAGGTTGAATAAAAAAACTGGCAACTGACCATTGAAATTGTTCATCATAAGATTTAGGACAGACAACTTGGTGAGATTAGTGAATGCATTTGGAATTTGACTAGTGAAGTTGTTATCTGAAAGATCTAAATAAGAAATATGTTGAAGTTTGCCAATTGAAAAGGGAAACTGACCTTTGAAATTCCCACTCGAGAGGTGAATATGAGTGATTTGTGTAAGGTTTCCAATGGATGCAGGAATAGATCCTGTGAAAGAACCTAGCAGAGTCAGGGACTTGAGCGACACTAAATTGCCAATGGAATGGGGCAATTCTCCGGAGCCATCAACATGCAAATGTTCCAAAAACTTCAAACCCCCAATAGAATCCGGTAATCCTCCTGAAAATTCTGTGGCAATTACTTCTAAGAACTTGAGGGGAGCAGTCCAATTAGACTTTGGAAAATGACCTCTCATCATAGGATTGTCCGATAGCTGGAGCGATTCCAAGTTTGGTAATTGGAATATATGAACCGGAAAATCTCCTCCATTAATTCCGCCCAGATAACACGAATGTAGATTGAGAGACACTAAAGAAGAAGACAATTTGGCCAGAGAATGAGGAGCAACATCATACATGTCCACCCCATCGAGCAACAATTCCCTTAAATTGGTCATGTTTCGAACCGATCTCTTCATAGCAGGATTGTCCACGTAGAGACCTAGATTGGAAGAGAGGTCAAGGGAAACAAGTTTGGATAAATGGGATATTTCTTGAGGGACCAAACCAGAAAGACCAGACCTAGATAAGTTGAGATGTGTCAAACTAGCCAGCTGCGAGATTGTTGAGGGGATTTCAGACATGCAAAAGGCGTTGCCAGCCAGGTTTAGCCATCGAAGATGAGAAAGGTGAAAAGGAGTGCCGCCGAAATTGATAGTGCCATAGAGCTGGCAATCCTGAAGGTGGAGGCCAATCACATTTCCGGTTACATTATCACAGGAAACTCCATCCCAGAAGCAACAATCACTTCCTTCCTTCCAAGAAACAATCTTTCTTGGTCCGCTCGTAAATGGATCTTCAACCGAACAGTTACTTAAAGAAATTGCAGTCTTGAATTGGAGCAATGCAAGGTTCTGATCAGGAGGGCACAAGTGTGATGAAGAAGAAGACAAAGAAGCAAACTGGGAGAGAAAAATTATCAAAATAAGAAAGTGGAGAAAGTTAAAGAGAAGCGGCATCAAGACTATCTCCATCTTCCCGTGAATTTAACAGTTGAGAAAGTGTGTTATGTATATAGTTTCTAATGAAAGTATATTTATAACCATTAACCATAAATAAAGTCTTCGATCGTAAGCTATCAAACAAAGAATACAAGTCAAAGTCTTTGTCTGCTTCTTTAATTGGTTTTCCTCCATGCAAATCTAATCGTCTTCTTCGGGTTGGAAGTTTATTTATTTCATTAATAAAATATTTAATAGACTTTTATTGGATAATTTATAAACCTTACGTACTCGGAGCTTGATGTTGATGCTTATTTCAAATGGTCTCCCGACTATATAGTGCGTTGTTTTGTTGAGTCTCCCGACTATTAAAAGTTACAAAATTGACTATAAGATGTTCGTTTTGTTGAGTCTCCACTATAAAAAGTTACAAAATGATCATCTAACTATCCATATATATTCCAAACTCATCTTTTTTCGTTAAAAAAATGATGGTAGTCTGAGCTAAATGTTAACATGTTGACTGAAATACGATAAAATCTAATTTCAGAACCGTTTGAACTATATTTTTACGGATCAACTCTTCGTTTACATGATGTCGTCGAGTCAATGCTTGAAACATTATATCACAAAGCAAATGCTTGAAAGCAACAGCGGTGTCAGTAGACATCATTAAGATATGATTTTATCAATTTTCAATTAGCATGTTAACGTCTAGCTCAGACGATTCTCAATGTTTTAACAAAAAAATGACAAGATTAGAACATATGAATAGTTGAATGACTTAACTTAGCATCACCCAATAATAAGATGACCGTTTTATAACTTTCAATATACTTTCAACATCTAATACTTAATTGGAGTGATTGACGGATAATTTATAAACCTTACAGTACTCAGAGCTTGAAGACCCGCCATATCTGTACAGTTCCTATGGAATCGTCTTCTTTGTGCTTTTAATTTGTTGTTTTCAATGAACATGAAGACCCGCCAGTTAACTTGAGCAATCCACGGCTAATTGAGATTTGATAGCAAAGATTATAAACGTTGTTATGTTATCATAGTTCAACACCACAAAATCAATCAATGATCCATCACACTGATATGGATATTATTTGTAAAATAGCTCCGTTGAGTCTCGTATCGGTTATAGAACCAATTCCTATAATTATGAAACCCATATGAGATACGGAGAAATAGACTATTCTTCTTTTTTAAATTTCGTTGATCAAGAGATGTTGAAGTTGCAGAAATTATTTGTATTGTACCCACTATTATCAACCAGGGGAAAATATGGAATGAGCATGGGTAATAATTCCATATTGATATGAACTAATCCATATGCTCCCCGTGGGTGTCTGGTAACCACATATGTAAGAGTATAATCGGCGATTTGACAGCAAAAGTAATAAGAAATCCAATATAGAATATTCTTTCTAGTGCGACAAGATATGATTGATTAACTAATGTTTTAAAATTTAATGTTGGTTCATTAGAACTGTTAGGTATGGCTCATAAATATACTAGTAAAGAGGACAGGAGATGGAGTGGAGTGAGCGAAGCGAACATCAACTGTCCTTACAAAGAAAGTCTCGTTGTGGGGTTACGAATTATGTGGGTTGGGGGTGCGGGGGCGCAGCCCCCGCGGTACGGTACAGGGTTAATTTTGTAATTATGTACCAGGGTTTTCTATTATAAATAGAGATGTAACCTAGACCTAAAATATCATTGAATAAAAAAAAAACTTCTAGCGCCGCCTAGGCACCGAGGACGTAAGCACATTGCCGAACCTCGTAAAATTCTCGTGTTCTTTTGTTTTCTTTACCCGTTTTCGTCAACAAGAACCGTATAAACCGATCCAAAACTCCTATTAATAGAAAAATGAAACCTCTGCAGTGTACAAAATAAATTTTATAGCCGAGTACAAACGTTTCTTCCCCCCTAACATAGATAGAAGTAGATAAACGAGAATTAATTCGAACTCCCACATGATGAAAAAAAAGTAAAAGGTCTCAGGAAGAAAATGATCCTATTTGAATTAAAACAACATCAGTAATAAATAAAATAATTTATTAAAGACATTTCTTGATTATGGAATGGTTTCAACGTGTGTTATGCCTTGAACCCTATACACTACACTAAACACGGAACACTTTAAACCCAGTAATTGTAGACTTTGCGCTAGTCCACTACGCAAACATCCGGAAATTCCTAATGTAATAACGTGACATTATGCATATGATGGATGTGATGGTGGTTTTAGACCCTACTGTACAAATAATTAATTGATCTAATGATATGAGACATTATATCCTTTAAGTAAAATCAGATGTTCGAGTCCAAACATTATAAATGGAGTAAATAGGGTTGAGAATGTCACTTTCATAATAAAATTCTACAATATTCGATCTGAATTAGTCGAATAATAAATCAACTACCTATAGCTATATATAAAAAAATTAGTAAAGGAGTTTATGAACTTATCTTTCATGTCCATGAATCGACATCAAAACAACTTAACGCATGTCGACCAAGAAAGGTAAAGCTTACATCACTCAGATACATACGTACATACGTACATATAAGTGTATATATATACACACACTCTTATATATATAAGTATGTATTTATAAATATATATTAGTACATAAGTATAACATATATAAGCATATATATTATAATATATATATATATATTTATAATATAAATATAAACTTAAACTTACACTTATACTTATGCTTGTGTACATAAGACTAATCAAATTATAATTTAATCAAGTTTAATTTTTTAAATAAAAAATATAATTATGAAAAAACTAAATTAAAAAAATATTATATATACATTATACATAGATTGATAAGGTGGCAAAATAATCAATTTTTTTTCTTAAAAGTTACATCACATTAACTGCTTCCTTTATCTTAAGCAAAAGAAAGTCAAAGATCCCCTCCAAAGATGAAGGCATCGACGATAAAACATAAAAAAAAAAAAAAAAAAATTATCGTCAAGCTTTTCAGATTTTAAAACATAAATTAGACTTGTATTTGGGCTTAATATATATATATATATAATCATATTAATTATTATAGTTTGTTTTAACTTTTAAAAAGTAATATTATTAGTTATCATAGTTTATTATAAAGTGAAAATAATTTCAGTGACCGAAAATGTCTTATAATATACGATTTTAACCAACTTTATTTAGATTTGCGAAAATAATCAATAAATTCGCAACGCGAACTCCAATTTCGCAACACAATTTCCAAATTCGCAACTTAAATTTCTTTTTCGCAACGTGATTTTCCAAATTCGCAACACAGAAGTCAAATTCGCAAAGCGCGTTTGTTTTCGCAACGTGAATTTTATTTTCAAATTTGAAACACAATATTAATTTCACAACACAAATGTAAATAATATATCCCGTAAATCGCAACACATAACCTAAAACCCTAAATCGTAAATCAATCCCATCTCCATATCTCACTCTCTACGACGACATCCCTCCCCATCTCCAGCGACATCCGTCCCCATCTCCGGCGACATCCGTCCCCATCTCCGACGACCCCCATCTATCTTCATCATCAAAATTCAGGTATTGAACAATATCAAAATCATTACACACGGGGTCTATTTCTTCTTCTGAAACATCATCAAAATCTGAGTATTGACCAAGATCAAAGTCCGAGAATTGACCAAGATCAAATTTCGAATACTGACTAGTACTCACATTTTTTTTCTGTTGGCTCATCATCGTCTAATTGGTCAATACAAAAACCGGAATTTGGTGCTGAAAGTTTATTGAGATTTGGATTAGGGAAAAGTTGTGGGTTTTGAGATTGTGTTTGGTATTGGAAATGTGGTGAAACAAAATTTTCTTGGTGATGAAATTGTGGTGGAACCATTAAATTTTGAGGTTGATAACAACATTGTACATTGTGAGCACCATAAACTGGGGCTGAAGAACTTAGTTGATTACTACCCTCTACTGATCCAACTTCACTACTTCTAGGTTCAACAACATACAATGTAACATCATCTTGCGAAACACTAATGTAAGTAATGAATCGTTCAATATCTTCATTGTCGGTTAACAAATAAACTTTACATTTTCTCTGATAAGATAGCCTAAATCCACTTAGAGGCTCTAAATTCAATTTCTTAGAAACACGTAACATTAGAGTTTCATAAGTTAACTTTTAATGACAGTTTTAGTTGAAGATTCATGGGTAAAGTCATTTATTGTAAAACACCATTAACATTCTCCCATGACCCTCCAAAACACAAATCTATCCAAACATGATCAACATTAGATGATTTCATTCTACAAATTGTAAATTAATTTACTAAACAAACGAGCTATAAACTAGATATCATCGCTAACTTAGAGAAAAACATACATTATTAAGTTGATAGTTGATAATTTGGGAGAGAAATCATTGAAAATTATATAGAAATAAAATTATGTAAAAAAAATTAGAGATGGGGAAGGATGTCGTTGGATATAGGAACGGATGTCGCCAGAGAGAGTGAGAGATGGAGATGGAATGAGTTACGATTTAGGGATTTAGGTTATGAGTTGTTGCTGCTGCGTAGTTTATATACCTAAAACATTTGTGTTGCAAAAATAAAAGCTGTTGTAAAATTAAAATTCGTGTTGCGAATTCGAAAATCGAGTTGTGAAAACAAAATTCGTGTTGCGAATTAGAAAATCTTGTTGCGAAAAGGAAACTTGTGTTGCGAAAAAGAAATTCGCGTTGCGAATTCAGAAATCGAGTTGAGAATTTGAAATTCCGTGTTGCGAATTTGGAAATCGCGTTGCGAAAAAGAAACTGATTTGTGAATTTGGAAATTGTGTTGCGAAATTGGAGTTCGCGTTGCGAATTTGTTGGTTATTTTCGCAAATCCAAAAAAAAAGTTGGTTAAAATCGTATATTATAAGGTATTTTCGGTCACTGAAGTTATTTTATCTATTATAATTTCAAAATCTCACATTTTCATCAATTGTAACTTTTAGGTAAATATCAAGTTAAATAAATATCATATCAGTTTAATAATAAGTCGAATTATTTACAGTTTGAGTCAATTATATATCATGTTCACAACATGTCAGGTTGATAACAGATTGAGTAATACCAATTATTTATCAGGTTAATCTCGGGTATATGTTCATAACAGTTGGATGCAGGTCGAGTTTAGTTATCATATTATCGGTTCGATTCAGGTTTAGATCATTCTCATATCGGTGTAGGTTGAGCTCAAATCTATAATTTCTAGGTCCAACTCAGGTTCAAACCAACATTAATTCGGACTCGAATTGATTTCGGATCACCATCACCTCAGGTCACAAATAATTTTAACTCAAGTCGATTTCAGTCAGTTTTACAGGTCGGATCATCTTTTTACATCCCCACCCTTACTTGCGCAAAGTTACTCGTATCAAGAAATGACTTTGTGTTGTATATAAGAATTTTTGACAATAGTTACCTATAGATTTGAATGAGCGGGACCTTTATTATTTCATGATATGATGCATAGTTTCACAGTTTTTAAATTTTAAAACTTTCATTTTCCTTTTCGATTGAGATTAATACTCATCTCTCCAAAACTTGGCATACTCTCTAATCAATCTCGTTTCATCTCATCACGAGTCAATGTCACGATTGATCATTCTACCTTACTCATTCATTGGGCAATTGACGTAAAATTAAACAATCAAAGAATTGCTCTGATATCACTTATCACATGATCACTTATCACATGATCACTTTTCTTTTTCTCAAAAGACATGTCTAATCGGACGTGCAATGCCATTAATTTTAAACTGCAAGATCTCTTTATTTATTGTATCCTTTTTATGTAGAATTAACGTCGTTCAACTCTCCCTAATATGGTATCCCCTCTTTTTAAGGTGTGTATATACATGTTTTATATTTTTTATGAAATATTTTTAATTCTAAAAAAACATAAATCATAATAAAATTTAAAATTTAAATATATTATTGCATCAAATTTATTAATTATCAGAACAGATAAATTTATTATTTTTTAGAAGACTGAAAAAATACTCTATAGTCATAGGGACTATTTACAAATTATACCCAAAATAAATTTAGTAACTCAAAATCGTAGGTGAGTCGGACTCGGATACTCCGATTGGATATCTATTTTCTTTTTGTACGTTCGATTCAACTTTCCACACGTCAAACCATCAAATCGAATCCAAAACCCTAATCAGCCTCTCTCTCCCTCTTTCTCTCCATTGAATATCGATGGCACCGAAGCGTTCAAACCACATTGAAGTCCCACCAGCTGCTTCTACTTCTGAAGAAGATGAGGAGGCTAACTCCGAGGACGAAGAGGTTGGATCTTCATCGGAGGACGAAGAAGACAACGATGAACCCCAAACCCAGTCTACTCCATTGATCCAAAAGAGCCCGCCTCCCAGGAAGCCCGAATCCGCAACAGCCGCTGTGGGGAACGAAGGGTCCGAGTCGGGATCCGGGTCCGAGTCGGAATCCGAATCCGAATCCGACACTGCCATGCCGAATGTCAGGCCTCTCGCGACGAAACCCATGGATGACGCGAACGTGAAGAAACCCAGATCCAACAACCCCTTGTCTTCTTCTCCCGTCAGAGCTTGTTCGTCGAAACGGCCCGGCGAGATGGAGCTGGATGCCAAGGAAGCGAACCGACCCAAGAAGAAAGCCGTGGAGGAAGGGGATAACACTGTGGCTTCCGCCGTCGAGGAGGTGAAAAAAACCGGCGAAGATGCGAAGAAGCAGCTTTTCCAGCGGTTATTCAGTGAAGACGACGAGATTGCTCTGTTGAAAGGTATGTTGGATTACTCTGCTAAAAGAGGAGTCGATCCTTGCGCTGATATGAATGCGTTTTATGATTTTGTTAAGAAATCGATTCATACCGATGTTACGAAAGCACAGTTGATGGATAAGATTAGAAGGTTGAAGAAAAAGTTTGAAAACAATGCTGGGAAAGGTAAAAAGGGCGAGGATCGAACTTTTTCTAAAGCCCATGAACAGAATGCTTTCGAGCTGTCGAAAAAGATTTGGGGCAAAGAAGGGATTAGTGGTAAAGTTGAGTCTTCAGCTGCTAAATCTAATGGGAAAACCAAGGCAAATAACAAGGCAGTGGTTGCATTGAGAGCAGAGTTGCATTCTTCACCTGATAAGAAAGTAAATGTCGGGGTACCGATGGAGGTCGATAAGGTGCCTAAGAGTACGGTGAGTAGTGTGTTCGATAAGAGGTTCGGTGTGTCGAGCTTGGAAGAGGAAGTTCTAAAGCATGGTTTAGATATGGTTGACAGCGAAAAGAAGGCAACTTTGGAGGCCAGATGGAGGAAATTGCAAATCTCAGAATTGGAGTTGTTCATTGAGCGAAGTGAATTGGTCAAGGAGCATGCCAAGTTGTTGCTGGAATGTTATAAGTCCGAAGACAGATAGAGAGCTAGTATAATAAGTGATCGACATTTTCATGTGCATTTTGAAGAATGTTAACTTGTTGCGCTTATTAGATAAGCTTGCTTTGAGTATCCAATTGTATGGTATCTGTGTTTTTTTCGGTTGCTTATATGCGTAATAGCAAGTACTTGAGCATATATTGTTATGTTTGGATTTGATTAATCTTTTTAATCTTGTTTTCTTTGAAGTGAATTTCTCTCATGATTTTTATTCCATCATATTTATGGTTTTATTCGAGAACAATGTTTCTAATGTTGTGCTTTTCAGGATGGTGGCTTCTGATGTTTGTCTTTGTGCAATTCTTTTCTTCCCTTATTTTCTTTGTTTACTTGAACTTGTGTGAACTGATCCTTTCATGAACATGCCATATTTTCCTTTTGATCCGATATGACTGTATTATGCCATGCTCCTCCTTATAGCCACAATTGTGTCTTCTTTCTCAAGAAACATGGTCTAGTCTAGTTTTCTTGTTCGTGCCGGGGACCTCGATGACAGTTTATCCCTCTGATTATCAATATGGTTTCTAAAATTGAATGCTACAAACATGTTCTCTTAGCTATATGAATGTGTCTGATAATTGTTGCATTCTCTGGTTTCGGTTTTATTCGATTGTAGTTCCATTTGTTTTGTCATGCTCTGGCATATTACATTGTATCTATATATGCAATATTTATCTCCCTGTCATTTTAAACCTTGAACCATATAGCTATGATGCAATCTGAAATGCCTTGGTTGTCTCCTTGTGATACTTCATGAACATCACATTTCAAGTTGAGGCTTTTGAAGGCGAACATTTTGGTTTGATTTTCTGGTGGCTATTTGTGTTAGATAATAAACGGGCAAAAAGGTATCAAATGTCCTTATATTTTTGAAAAAAATCAATGTGGTCCGTGTGTTATTTCTCTCTCTCAATATGACCATCCAACTCATAAAATAAATTCAATATGGTCATTTGACCACTTTTTTTCGTCGTTCACTGTTACGATGCAAATGTGCTAATTCACAGTGTTTACATGGCAGTTTAGGGTGGTAGATTAACATGGCGGATGACATGACAGATTGACTAAATTAGTTACTCAAACATGACAGATGAATTGTCACACATCAATATTGTGGATTGTAACGTTAGTATGGTAGACTGTCACGTAAGTGCCGTGAAATGACACACGAATATTGTAATGGTCAATAATGAAAAACGTGGTCAAAGGGTCACATTGGGTTTGTTTTAAGAGTTGGAGGTCATATTAAGAGAAAAAAATAATACGAGGATTACATTAAGGATTTTTCAAAAGTATACGAGAAAAAAATATGGTGTTCTGATGTTTGAACCATAGAAAATTAGTTTATATTTGATATGTTATTATTATAAACCGTATAATTTCATCTCCCTTTATGTAAAATGAAGAGAGAAGTAAAAGAACTGAAATCTTTATTGCTGGTAACAACTCATGAAACTCAACCTTAATCTCATCATCTGCAGTCAATAAATTTTCCAGGAAAATTCAAAAAAGAAAAACAGATGGAAAACAATGTAAACAAGGCGAAAACAGACACAATATTGCTTGCAAAAAACGTAGCAAAAATCGTTGCTTCACCTAATCTACTTATTCATGTCATTAAATTAAACCATTATTGAATCCCCTTAAGCAACCATTTTTAGAAACCGAGCTGTTCAGTTTCAATTTGTCTTAGCCATTTGCACGAGGAGCAACAGCATCGAGCTTTCGAGTTGCCTCGAATGACAAAATTTCTCTTTGCCACACATTGGTGATGAACATGTCCGTGCTCCTTTAACAACTACGTCGTCGCCGGAATCACTTTCTTCCTCGGCTATGGTGGCCAACGTTTGCATTAACGGACGCTTGGAAACATAGACAAACCGAGGAGGAGCGACTTCATTCTTGAACCGTTCGAGGTTCCGGGACTTACCCATTGTTGTTTCTTCCATCGGACAGGCGACAATACCAGCAGGTTAATGGATTGAAAATGGATGAGAGTGGGGGAGACAGGTAGGGGTGTAGAAGAAGGCTCGTATAGGGTCATAAAATGTGAAGATAAAGGTTGAGATAAGATAGAATGATTTATGGACTTCATAAGCACTAGAGGCTTTGAATTTATATAGCAAGAAATTTTAAAATGCAATATTTGTTTAAAGATAATTTTTAAATGATTGACATTAAACGATCATATTTCTACAATTTTAGTGTTCAAATTCAGGACCTCAAAGAATAATATCAATTCTTTTATTACTAAAATCACTCCATTCATACAATATAAGCAAGATTTGAGATGGAACCATGTCATTGGTTATTCCTCGTGCATCCAAGCAATGCCTTTACACGACATGTCTTGTCAATAGAAAACTGACAATTGAGATATTAATTATAAAATATATCGCATAAGATTGTTTTGGCCATGGGGAAGGGACCATATTTCCTTCGAGGAAAGGGCTTGTGTCACTCAACAACATCTCATAATATTTAGGGTAAATTATGTATTTAATATATAAATTATTAGTTTTAGTGCCTAAATTTTTTTTTTAAAATTCATATATAACATTTAGTTTACATTTCATTTTAGTACTCCGCCTTTAAACTTAACACATTTTGTACTTAAATTATCAATTTTGATCCGTTTTAATATCCGGATTTTCAATCTTTTCAAAACTTAACATTAAATTTTGAATGAGATACTAAAATGAAACAGAAACTAAAATTTTTAATGGCAGAATACTAAAATGAAACAAAAACTCTTTAGATATGATTTTGAAAAAAAAAATAGATACTAAACAAATAGTTTTTATATTAAACGCATAATTATCCAAATATTTATAATCATTTTTATTTCAAACGTTTAGAGTAAGGGTGTTTATTAACGGGTACTTGCATTTTCGGATATTTGATTCTTCGAGTAGTAGAAAATACAATATGTATCTTAATTCAAATTATATTATTTAAAAAATAATTCACATGAAAATATAATTCACATTATATTATTTAAAAAATAATTCACATGAAAAAAAAGTAAAACTAAAAAATCCAAAATGCATAATCCAAAGGCCAATTTTGATGGGACAAATGAAATACATTTTAGGTAAATTACACATTTAGTATCTAAATTATTAGTTTTGATCTGTTTTAGTATCTAAACTTTCAATTTTTTTAAAATCATACTTAAAGTTTAGTTTTTGTTTCATTTTAGTACTCTAGTTCAAAATTTAACGTTAAATTTTGAAAAAAATGAAAGTTTAGGTACTACTCGCGTTAAGTTTTTAACAGCAGTGTACTAAAATGAAACAAAAACTAAACGTTAGGAATGATTTTGAAAAAAAAAATGAAAGCTTAAGTACTAAAACAAATCAAAAGTGATAGTTTTAGTACTATGTATTTATAGTTTACCCATAAATTTTCTAATAGAAGACTGCCCAAAGCGCAATGGACATGTACTGCAATGTACAGAGATGAACCTTATTGCCAGACATGATTGCAGTATTGAACCGCAAGGACTGAACGGTTTTGAGTCTGGGCAATTTAGCTACCGTCCAAAGGAGGTGTTATAATGTGCCAATGGAGGACATAGGGACCAAAAATACTGTGGTTCAAAACTATGACTGCATCAACACGTCGTTTGGGAGGGCAAAAGAGGGGACCAAAGCCAATAGTGGGTGTCTTGGAATTGTCGATCAAAAGTTTTTGTGTTTTGGGTCTTATTTCAAGTTGTTTTCACCATTGCCGCCCTTTGAATGCTCATCGTGGAGCTTACTTTCCATGCATGTTGCAGTAAATGATACGTAGGGCAAAACTTTCAAGGACAATAACTCTAAGGTAAGAGAAGGAAAGTTGTTGCTATGTAACTTCTGATTTGTTGCTACAAATATAGTTCATTGATCTTATACAACTCTCTATTTTGTTGTCTGATCAAATGATGATTAACAATTGTATTAACGTAGCTTGATTTGGTGTGAGCGTGTGTTTCTTTTACAACTTTCGTCATGTTATTATATATTCTCTCAATTTAGTCATACTTTTAATAAATTAAAATAAATTTAATCCTCCAATCGAACGATCCCACATGTCATGCGAGTAAAGTTGTTAAAAAATAGTAGACCCGATTGAGTTGACCCATCGACCTGCGGACCTAGTTAAAAAAGGCAAAAGTTATGGGATAATGCTTCCCACTTTTTTTAATTACCAAGATAATGCACCCAAGGAATTATTTTCCAGGGACAGTAAACCGTGAAGACGTCGTGACATGTTGAAGACTGCTGGATTTCTACTCGTCTTCAAGCCACCACACAAACACAGTGAAGATGCGGTGTAATCCTTGCGTTTGGAGGGTGAAGACCCGGGGATTACTATACGTCTTCAAGCATTTCCTTGCCCCTGCAAACAGCCTGCACCACTGTCGCTTGTGCATCCTTCATGCATGCAGCACGGATACGGAAGGCTACGTCTGTGCAGCACAGTTGCCTGCAGCATGCCCGTGATGCACGTGAATGGGCATGCATGCAAAGTTGGCGGCATAAATAAAAAATTGCAGAAATTATTGGTTTGGTTTGATTGGGTTGGTGATTGTTTACTTACCTGGTGAAGGCATAAAAAATTGTGTAGTTGAAAGAGAAGAAAGAAATTGGGTGTTGAAGAAACCAGTGAAATAAAACAAGTGGGATATCAAGCACATTTATTTAGTTGGTAATTATCATTGTTTGGTGATCGGTATATTCGTTCAAAATATTGGGTCGTAAGTATAGTTTTTTTTTAAACTTCTTTTATTGTTATGTCTTAATTTATATTTTTTATTCAAATTAATTTAGGTTCAATTTTTTATGAGATTATTCAAATTAATTGTTATATCGTTTGAGATTATGATATTAAATTTTATCATATCTCAATCAGTAAGTTAATGTCAAACTCAGATTGTCGTCAATATTTTAACGGAAACTACTAGTTTAGAACATAATAAATAGTAAAATAATTTTTTTTATAAATTTTAATAGTCGAAAGATTTAATAAAATAACTTTTTATAATTTTTAATAATTGAGATACTAAATAAAATAATAATCTATTTATAGAGAAATATTACAAATTAAGTGGCTCTCCAAGTATGTAATATGTTCGTGGGAGTCTACATTTTATCTTCCACAATCCAATAAGTGGCCTTCCTCCTCCAATTCAAGATAACCAACAACAAC